TATTTATTGGAGTGAGAAGAAGAGAACAACCAGGATAAAGCAAATGCTCAACATTTTCCATTCCTTTTAAACAGTTGACAATATCATATACTATAAACTTTAGATACCCAGTTATTTTAATTATTTTCGGCAGGCTTTTTTACATTTTTAATCTATAGTTCTTTTATAGTTTGCTATCTTATCTCAAACACTAAAGTAGATATAAACTTATTCTTTTTTAATAAAAAAGCAAAATTCAAGACTTTTGTTAAAAGAATATCGTCAGTAATAATAAGGCTAGTTTTAAATACGTTATCTACCTATATTATTAACGCTTCTTTAAAAAAAAAAGAATAAAGTTTTCTTATTATATTTTAAATTGGCTTGGTATAAATTAGTATTCATAGAAAGCCAATAGTCTTTCTCCTTTAAAATGTCACTTATTATACTTTCACTGACGTTATATTCATTAGCCAAGTCTTTTTGTTTTAAAAAAGGTGATGATATTTTTTTCAAATAAAGTTCTTTTTTTTTGTGCAGCTATAAGAGACTTTATTTTTTTTAAAGGTTTATCTTGTTTGTTAGTAGGTTGATTAAGTTATTTCTTTGAGTTTACTTTTGGCATTATTGGTATTATGTAAAAAAAAAACACATAAAAAAATAAAATATGTAAAAAAAAAATAAAACACAAGACATAATATGTAATATAAATATTTATTCATTTTTTTAATTTTATTTAAAAATTAGCTATAGAGAACTATAAAATTTTATATACATAAATCTAGTAAAATTTATTTTAAGCAAAACTTCATTGTATTAAAAAAAAAATTTGTTATAGAGAAAATTCGTTATAAAAAGAGTCATTTTATACATAAATTTTTCTGACTTTAATTTATTAAACGTAGTATGAATTTTTAATTACTAAATTCAGTATAGTAAGGGTTTTTTTATATTTAAAAATCTGTCTGACACTGAAAATCTGTTGTATTGTAAAATTTGTTATATCAAAATTCATCATAGAAAGAATTGACTGTAAGTTTAGACCAAATTTTTATACAATCTATTATCCCAATAATAGGTCTATTCCAATTAATTACTCTAGTTAATCAAAAAACTTTAAGTATATTTTCATATACTAACTCTGGATTAGATAGCATAGTGGACTTTAATCTGATTGACTGATTTCAAAATGATCATCACATATTAAATTTATATAACAAATGATAATCTAACTTTAAATAGCATAGTAGGCTTTAATCTGATTAGCTGATCTCAAAATAATTATCACATATTAAATTCATATAAAAAAATAATCATCTAACTTTAAATAGATTTGCAACACAGGGATGGATTCGCAAGGATTGCGATAAAATTTTTTTAAAGTTTACCTTTTATTCTATAAACTGTTAAAATAATTTGATAAGCGGAGAGGTAATTCAGAACTTAGCTAATAAGAGTTTTATAATAATTTTTTTATTAAAGTCATTTTATTATTAAAAAGAAGGAATACAAGCAAAATGTTCATTTATCATAAAGATATATCTATTTTTAACACAAAAAAAAAAGGTTCAGAATTGTGATTTGAAGGGTCAGAATAACATTGTCTTTAATTATGAATAGCATAGTGTATCTATATATCTGAGCAAATAGATATTCCAAGTTCAAGCTAACATTTGAATTTAGTTGGTAAGGCTTTATGCTGAAAACACTATAATAAATTAATAGTGAATGCAAGAAAAAATTTAAAATTAATAAATATTTGCATCTAAAGTACATGTTTTATATATCTACAGCTCAAAATGGTACAGAAGGAAAAAAACTTAAGAAGGCTTTAGAATGATTAATTAAATTCTTTGAGCTATTATAAGAGCAATGATGTGTCATCATTACTTATACAAAATTGATTATAATCTGAAATATGTTAATTCGCCTGATTATCTATCACTGCCTAAGAAGATATAAGAAAATTTCAGAAAAGATCATACATGTTATAAAGTGATATTATTTATTCTGAATCTAAATTTCAGAAATTAGAGATTGTATATAACAAAGTATGTGTAGAGCTTGACGAAGTGAAATTAGGTAAATAATTAATTTTATTTGTAACTGCATTATGAATTTTTTTTATATATAGTTAATATTTTTTTTAGAGTTGATTCCTCTTGGTAAAAAATTAAATTAATATTAGGAGTTCTGTATATAAGGCAGCATGTTATCAGCGTTGAAAATTTGCCCTAGAAAAATGATTTACAAAGCCATTAGATTTAATTTTATGTAGATCATATTAAGGAAGATCTTGATTGACGTATTGCATTGAAAAATCATTTAATTTGAAGAATTTACAAAATTCACCTGATTCGCTTGTTTCTTCTGTATTTTCTAAACAGTCTGTTTAATCTGTTTACTTTATTTCATTTATAATTTTTTTAACGTTTATAATTTATTTTTATTATTTTTATTATTTATATATTTACATTATTCTGTATATTTATTATAGTCAAGGAGTTAGATATTTATTAATATTATTCTGCATTCTTTTTATTACCAAAAATTTATATTAGGTGATGCAATATTCTACAATATAATTTTGGTTAATTTTAGCTAGTGTTATATTATATTTTTAATCTGATCTTTAGGATGAAATAACTTGGTATTCTGTAATTATATTTATGCAATTTTAAACTTATTTAAAAAAGAGTGTTAAGAGCTTTTTAATGATACTAAGATTGTATAAATTAAATATCTAAATTATAAGATATTATATTCAAATATTTTGGAAAAAAAATATGAAATAATATCAGTCAGAATTTATTAAATCATCATAATTTACTGCATTTTACTGTGTTAATTAATCATGTAATACTCTCATTAAAGATGGTGCTACAACTAGTTACAACTATATGATGCTTATTTATCATCAGTTGCAACTAGTTGTAACTTAATTTTTATTAATATTGCAACTAGTTGCAACCCTGTAATGCTTATTTATCACCAGTTGCAACCAGTTGCAGTGCCATCTTTAACTCTCACCAATTCTGAGCACTTTTTTACTATTTTTAAGAAATTATATTTACTCTATTTGATTGTTAGGATGAGATATAAATTGTTAAACTAATAATCTATATATTTTTCTTTTTAATTGCTATCTCTTGATCGTTATATGAAATACAAAGTATCAAATTTGCAATCTATTTAATTTTCAGATATTTTACAATCTATTTGCCATCTATTAATTATCAGGTAAAGTATATATAAAATACTAATATTGTGTTATTCTTGTAATCTTGCCTTTTATAATCTATTTGATTATTAAGAATAAGATACAAAATGCTAAATTAATTTAAGGCTATATCATTTTTATATACATTTTTCTTATATTTTTCTAAATCTTTTTGCATTTTTAGCTTCTTTTCTACCTATTAACAGTAGTACACAAAAGTATAATTTTTATTTTCTTTTTTATATATTATTTTACCTTTGAATTCTACTAAAAATATATTATATTTTTTATTCTTATATTTTCAAAACTTTTCTAATATAATTGTTATTTTTAAGTATTATTGTATTAATATTAGAACCAATCATTTATATTATTCTACTTTTAAGTCCTATCAAATTTATACCTTATTTTTTATTCTTATATTCTCAAATCTTTTTTCTAATATAATTATTACTTCTAAATATTACTACTTTAATATTAGAATTGATAACATATATTTTTATTTTAAATATTTGTGAAATTTTTATATAATTTTATACTATTAATTTTATATATTATATTATGTTACTTATATAAAAAAAGTCTAGACCTGATTTTAGTATAATAAATGAAACAATTAAGTTCTTTTCTAGTTTAGCAGATTTTGATTATAAACTTATTTATAATAATTATAAATATTTTTAATATTTATTTAATAATAAAGATGATATTGCTTTTTTGGATGTCTATTATTTTAAAAAGATTTTTGACAAATATATAATTCAGATAGCAGAAAAGGGTTTTATAATAATTGATTATTAATTTAAAGTTTATGGATTGCTCAATACTCATGAATATATTGATAAGAATTTACATTTTCATCTAGTTCTAAATATTAATATGAGATAAAAATCTAATTTTATGAATTCTTTATTCTCTTCTTTAGATAGAAATAAAATTTTTTACAAAGATTTATTATTAAGAATCTTAATTATTTGTATTAATATTTTATATTTAATTTAAAATATTTCATAATATTAAATGTTTTGCTTTAGCTAGTTTTTTGTCTAATGCTAATAAATGCAGTTAACATATCATATATTCTTATGTTCATTTTATTAATTACAGAGAATTTAAAGGTTTTGTAAAAAAAGTTGCTGATAGAATTGAAAAATTATACTCAGAATTTAATGATATAAGATTTTACAAATCATATTTTAGTTTTCAATTTTTTGAAAAATAAAGTTAAAATACTTGCAATTTTTTTAGTTAAGAAAAGATATCACAAGCTAAAAATTATTTAGTTCAACCTAATATTCCTGAAATTCAATCCTGAACCTTTTTCTCTGAGAAGTTAGAAAAAGAAAAATTCTAATCTATTAAGAATAAAACTACTTTAAGTAAGGAAATAAGCTTAGTTATCATAAAATATGAATAGTTTAAAATTGGCAATATTAGAAAAAGATTTGTTAACTTTTAAGCTCAATTATTAGAAATATATTTTATTTGTAAAATCAAATATGAGAAGAATTAGTTGAAAAGCTAGATGAAATAAATACGAAACAAAATGAAGAAATAATTAGTAAAAAAAATAAGAAAAGATAATAATGCTATAGCTGATAATAAAGAAGACGATATTATAATTAAAGATTAAAATGATATTATAGTTAAAGAAAATGTTATGATTGAGATATTAAAAATAATATTATAATTGATGATATAAATATTAATTTGTAAAAAAAAAGAGAAAACATAGTAAAAAATCATATTATAAATAAACATAGATAAATTACGAAATAAATTACATGCTAATAAATATTTTATGGAAAAAATAACGTCAGAATTAGTTTATTATAAATATGGTAAAGAAATTTGTTTAGATTGAAAATTTAGAAATAAAAATCTTACAACACATGGTGAATTGAGTAATTGTAAGTGCAATAACAAAGGACAGTAAAATATTAAAGTTTTTTTTAAACTTAAAAAAATTAGAGTTGAAGAGGAAAATATAATTGTCAAAAAAGTTGCATGTAAGAGATTATATGAAGATAAATATCGAGAATATATGCTTAATAGTCTAGCTGAATTTGAAGATCAATTAGACTCAATATAGCCGCAAAAGAGTTATTTCTAGAAATTGTTAAAGTAAATCTTAGAATAAAAGGTCTTGGTAAAATGAGATATACTGATCTTAAAAATTATTTATATGCATATGCTATGTAAATATTAGATAAAACTACTCTTTCTGTTAGAAGTAAAATATGTGAAAATTTTACAATTAAAGAATCAGATATTTGTGACGAATGTGACAAATTAAGAAAAAATAGTTATTTAAATCAAGCAATAAAGAAAATATGTATTTAAATTAACTATTTGATTCAAAATTTTATCTAATTTATATTTACTTTTTTTAGCAACGAACAACTGGAAAAATATTCATTTTATTCCAAAATGGTATCTTAAACATCCTTTAAGTAAATTACTACTTAATATAAATCTTAAGTCATTATGGATATCAGTTAATAATAGTGATAATGATACAGAAATTTGGTTTAAGTTAGTTTAATTTGAAAAAGACAGATTATTTAAAGAAAAAAACATTTTAAGAATTAGCATCATTAATGGTATAAATACAAGAAAAGAAGTTACAGGATAAAAAAATGACAGGTCTTTATTATTCTGAATATTTAAAACAATTTTTTTTATTTATTATCAGATAGTAACTGTAAATATGAAATCTTTAGATAAATGTTTATAAGAATAAGCAGTATAAGATATATGTGAACAAAAGAAAGTGATATTATACAGTGTAGAACAAAAAAAACCGGAATTTTTTTTGAGAAATAAAATGATGCAAATCTCAGCCAAATCAAATCCGATCTGAACTATGTAAAAAAGAAAATAATCGCAAGGTAAGTGAGTATATAATTTTTTTTTTTTTGTATTACTAATTATTAAAATTTTTTTTTCATTTCCTCCCCTCAATATCTTCAATTTTTTAAAAATAATCTAAAATTCAATTAATTAGAAACGATAACCTCCAGACAAGAAACTAACTATCAAGCGATCTTACAATTATAGAATCGGAGTATTCAGAAGGCTAAAGAAATCTATCAACGCACTGGAATTTCTCTCACAACTGTATACGATAACCTTACCAAGCTTTGTGAGTCTGGGATAATTCAGCGTGTAGAAGGAAGTGGTCGCCCAAAAAAGATTACAGCTAATGCATCAAGAGCATTAGCCCAATTTGTCCGCCGGGATTCTTCTATTTCAACAAGGACTCTGTTAACAAGGTTGTCATTGAAAGGTGTGGATGTGTCTTATAGGACAGTAGAAAGGTATTTAGCCGAAATTGGATACCAAAAAGACCTTCCAAGAGCAATGCCGATGCTGACCGCAGACCATAAATGTAAACAGGTAGAATGGACCCAAAATCATCTTAATGATGATTGGGACAAAACTTTGTTTTCAGATGAGACTGCCTTCCAACTGTTCTGGAATACTGTAGAGCGCTGACATAAAGAATAATGACCAATACGCTCTATGCCTAAAGATCAAACGAAAATCTTTGCATAGGGAGGATTTTGTGTAAAAGGAAAAATAAGTTTATATTGTTTTTCTCAAATAATGAATGCTGAATTTTATGTAAACATACTCTGTAGCCACCTTCCAGAGATTGAAGACTTGTTGGGAGATGAATGGCATTTTCAGCAAGACAATGATTCGAAACACATCAGCAATCATGCCAAAAAATTTCTTCGGGAAAATTTTTCTGAAGTTATTGACTGGCCTTTTAATAGTCCGGACCTAAATCCGATAGAAAACCTTTGGAGTATTGTTAACAGAAATGTGGAGAAGAAAATGCTAAAGAATATCAATGATTTGCGCCAATATATGATCAAAGAATGGGACGATATTTCAGAATCAACCCTAATTGAGTTAGTAAAATCAATGAAACGCCAATGTGAACTTATTATAAAAAATAATGGTGAACGAATTCTGTTCTAAAAAAAATATTAATAAAATTAGCTAGTTTTTAGCTTCAAATATATATAAATTTTATTTAGTTGGTATCGTTTAGTTTTTGCATAATATGTATTTAAAAAATTCCAGTTTTTTTTGTCCCACACTGTATCTAATCTAGCATAGTGGGCTTTTAATATAATTGGCTAATTTTTATTGATTAATTTTTGTTATTGCTAAAATTCTATTGGTTAATAAAATCACATGATCAAATCAAAAAATTGTTAATCAAAGGATATTCGAGTATAATAAATGATAATTTAGTCAAATAAAAAAAAATATTTAATAAAGAAATTTTATAAAATTGGTTTCTTTTTATTTTTATTTATATAAATATTAAATATGTTATTTTTTTAACTACATTTTATATATAAAACAGCAAATTTTCATCAAATTATGTATTTATTAAAGTATTCATAGTATTTTCAAAAAGTATATCTATATTATTATCTAAAGAAAAATCTTCACTACTAATATTAGTATTATTGGTAGTTTCAGTATTATCTGATTTATTTCTATCCTCATTTATAATCATTTTGTCAAACGAAGTCAAAATTTTCTGATAATTTTTACAATTTTTTTTAATTTTGCTTATAAGATAATTAATATAATATTGATATTGACTTCCTAATTTAAATAAGAAATACTCAAAATAATAAGCATATCTACAAATCAAAATACAACTTACCTTACATGAATCTATGTAACTTTTCAAATCACAATATTTATCTTCTTTAGAAGGGTGTGCTGTATTTTAAGCTATTGCTAAAATTTTAATATCAACTCGAACTTCAAGTGTTAAAAGCTCATATATTTTTAACTTCAAATATATATTAAATAGAATAATCTTTGAATTGTTAACATTCTGATAAACATTCTTAAAAAGATTTAATAGGAAAATTGCAGTCTGTTTTTCAAGATATTCCAATTGCTTTACTAAATATCTAATATTGTGATTCTCAGTAAACACGTCTATGAAAGAGGTGCTATTACATATCTGATCAGTTACTCACACTTGTCAAATAATCTGTTTTATTATATTTGATTTCTGTATTTATCGCTGAAGTGAGCTATAGAAATTTTCTACATAATAATCGTTAAAAATATGAAGAAAATTTGTAAAAACTCATGAAATAGGATGATTAGTATTAGTCCAGCAAAAAATATCACTTAAAAATACTAATAGAAGTTTATTATAGTTTCTACGCTTATATTAAAAGAAAATAGTTCAAATACGAAATATTACCTCTTTATATGTTATCTAAATTTCACTATAAAATATAACAGGATAGAAATCTAAAACTAATAAGATGATATTATCTAGTAAATTGATGAGATACTGAACTTCTGGATCTTTGGATAATTTGAATTTCTGTAAAATAATTAAATGTACTTAAGACCAATCCTGAAATGTAAGTTCAAGTATCAAATTAATTTTGTAAAGTTTTAGCTTTTTTGCCAATATCTTTAGACGTTTAAATATTTTGTAAAAAAGTTTTTCAAAAAATCTATAATTTTCAAGAAATATAGTTTTATGGCTATTTAAAAATACATGCAAAGGTTCAATCATTGGAACAATATGCAGAATTTGTTTTAGTATTCCAGAAGAATTTCTAAATTTGATATAATAATTGATAGCATGTTATATGTAAAGTTATCCAGGATAATTCATAGGTGTAATTAATATCTGCATTATTATATAGTCTCTTATTTTAGAAACAACAATTATGTGTTTAAGAGCTTCTATATAATTATTAGTTAAATGGAAAGGCTCTTCTTTTAAATTAATCAGCTTTGTATTTTTTATACTTTGGTCAGTCTGACGTTGTTCAATTCTATTATCATAACTATAAATTAAGAGGCATTCAACTCTTTTAGCATATGTTTCTGATAAAGGTGCTAAATCAAAAAATGCTTTTTTTTATTCTTTATAACTAAACTATAAATAAGAAAAGAAAGATGTATAAGTATTTAGTATAATAATATTTTCATCAATACCCTTTTTATTATATATATTCCCTTCTTGATTAGGATTGTAAAATGGAATAGATGCTGTTTTTGGCAGGGCTTTTAAGAGTATCATAATAAAGTGAGAAATTTCATATGTAGTTATTATATCATTATGACAATATTCATGAATGTTATAAAAATTATCTATATTTAGAACTATCAAGTTTCTGATTTATAAATAAATTAAAATGCCAGTTTGTTATTTACAAATAATAAAGCTAAAGAAAATATTTGCATACTCACATTTTCCAATAAAACTTTTCCAATATTATCATGTGTACTTTTACTTGGCGAGTTTTCTGTTTTGCAATACTTTCATACCTTACCATCAAGCTTGCACTAGCTAAGGTCTCTATTGCTAAGGAAAATGTTTCAGATATATCTAGTAAAAATCCAACTTTTACTTTAACTCTGTTAATAAACTTATTATTAAGCCCTGTTAGAAAATAATAAAATAAAATCAATTTCACCTTATTTTTTTTATTAGTTGTATAACTCTTAGCTTGTAGATTAGTTTTGGCTACTAATTGGTCAAAAAAACTTTTTAACGATGATTCAGCTTTCTTAAGCATCCTTTTAAATTCCTCTGGATTGAGAATAGGTTTTTCATGATATACACTATCACTGGGTTCGTTTTCATTTATCTTAACGTCTAAGTTGAAAGGCTGTGGCAGCTGATTCTACACGTTGAAGTTTCCAACCTTAGGATTTTCTCTAAGTCCTATAGGTATCCGTTATACTTGAATCAACTCAGCAATTTATCACGTCTTAGAACTTAAGATATGTTAGTCAAACTCATAATGACGAACTTAATAGCAAGTTAGTGTAGTGTATCACAACAATTCTAGATGAAGGACAACATTGAAGGGAAAAGTAGTTTGTGTAGATTTAAATAGATTCCTTTATTTATAACTTGAAACTCATATGAAACTTATAAATTTACAACTGAGTTAATAAACTTACAAAAGAGTTAATTTACAACTTAAGCAAAAAGCTATTCTATTTATACAAAATTGACTTTGCTACGACTAGCTACTTGCTACGCTATAAATTAACTAAATATAGATATATGTCCTA